TGCTTGCCTTGCATGCATGAGGCCCTGGGTTTGATTCCTCAGCACCACATAAGCAAAAAGAAAAAAGCTGGAAGTGGCGCTGTGGCTCAAGTAGTAGAGCACTAGCCTTGAACTGAAGAGCTGAGGGACAGTGCCCAGGCCTAGAGTTCAGGCCCCACGGCCCAACCCGCCTACCCTCCCCCCCCCAAAAAAAAGAATAAACATTTTTTTTTTACAGCAGGTAAATGGGAAAGTTGAAACTTGATTAATATCATAATCCAGTTAAGAATTATATATATGTATTTTTCATAAACTATGTTTACATTAACAACCAGATTTCTCTATCTGGTCTCAGTATTTCAAAGTGCATAGTTGGTAACATATATATTTAAAATAAATAATAGTGTTACTTGAATAATATTTCTATATATAGCTAATGTATATTTCTATTTTAGGGAAGATGTAGAAAAAGTTAAGACATCAGGGGATTGGAAAACAGTACATGATTTTTATCTTACAACATTTGATTCTTTCCCAGAATTAAATACTGCATTTAAGGTAAGAATATATAAAACATTTTCTTTTGTTTTTAGTTTAACATTTTCCAAAATATATGACTTTATCTCATTACCAACAATGAAATAACTTTTTAAATAAAAATACATATATTGATTTTAAAAAATCAAATATGTAACAAATATTACTTAATACCTTAACTATTAAATTTGTATGGCTATTAATGATTGACTCAATTCTTTTAGTTTTTTCATTGTTAAGGCTTAAACTCAGGGCCTCAGCCTCTTACTGGTCTCTGTCACTTGAGCCACATCCCCAGTCTTCTTGCTGGTTTGGTTTCCATTCTTTCTTCCACTCCCCCCTCCTGTCCCTCCCTCCTTCCTTTCCTTTCCCTTTCTTCCCCCCCCTTCCTTCTTTTCCTTCCATCTTTCTTTCTTTTCTTTTCTTTCTTTTTCTGGTCAGTTGGACATATCATCTCTCAGACTTTTTTGTCCAGGCTAGCTTCAAACCATGATCCTCAGATCTCAGCCTTCTGAGTCACTAGGATTACAAGTATAAGCCACTGGTACCCAGCTAATGGTTCTTTTTTACAGAATACTTTTATAAAATAGTAAAAATTATCAAAGAATAGTGATTCAGATATTACTAATAATAGTTCTTAAAATGTTATATACACTAAATTTTTAAATTAAACTTACAGAAAGATGCCACGGCTTTATTTAATACAATTGAAGACTCTGGGATTAATGCTAAATTTGTGAATGCTGTGTATGATGCCTTACTTAGTACTGTAAGTATTATTTATGAACACATTCAGATGGTACAATTCTGTTTCTCTTCTGTATTTCAAATATAACCATACAATGTAAAAATCACTTTGTAACATAAGTACATTAGAAACTGATATCATTTTATAGTAAATGTAATTGAATTTCTCATTAATTATTACAAATATACTACTCTGTACTTTCTGCATAAGTTTTCTGTAAATCTGAGACTTCTCTAAAAAATAAAGTGTATTGCTAAGAAAATTGGGCAGTCATATCACAAGAGCCATCTCACCCAATGGCCAAATATGAATCAATTTGGCTATTAAAATCAAAATAACAATGAATTATAACCATTGTGGAAAATAAGAACAGTTGAATCCATCTAATGAAAAATAGATGATTGATAAATATATTTTGAAAGTAGGAGAAATAAAAAGAATGTGGACTAGTAAGTATACAAGGAATTAAAATGTTTAAAATTTAAGATTTACAACCATTATAGTAATAATTGAGGTAATCATTATCATAGTCAGTTAACTAAATTGCCAAATTGACAGCTGACAAAAGGTGATGTGATGCACTGAGGTATCATTTATGAGCCTACCAAAAATATAATCATAAGAAAATAGATGGAAAAAAAACAATAAATGTCTAAGCTCTTCAAAAATGTCGCTATCATGAAAGACAAAAAAATGAAAAAAATGGTAAGGAGTTTTGAAAATAGTTATCGTGGAAGGTAGCCAACTATTGTAAGATTGTCAGTGTTGTGAAGTATCCTTTTGACTGCACAGTGTGTGTGCAGTTAGCCCATAAATTTAATCTTTCTCTTACAGGTCTTTCACTAAAACTATTGTTTTCCAGTTATGTAACTGTTGTTGATCATCAAAGGACAACTGGACATATTTTTGCACTTGTCTAGTGCATATCCCAGGGAGCATTCTCACTGGAGTTTTACATCATTTTTGTTTCCTAGAGCTTTAAGAGGAAAAATGAATATTACTCTATTAGTACTTAGCCATCACATCTGATATTAATTATTGAAACTGATATGTAATACAGTTAGCACATAAAAGTCTTAAATAGCTAATCAGATTACATTACTTTATTATTTTCTTTTGCTTACAGCCTCAAGACATTCAGAAGACAGTATTGAAGGGAATCATTAACAGTCTGTTACGAGAGTGGAAAGGGTAATTGTAACCAGTATTTTAACCAATAAATATAGATTACTAACTTACATATCTCATATATCTTAATACTCAGATATTTTAAGTGAATCATAATAATAACATGGATCAGAAAAGGATTATAAAACACTTGCAACAAAGATGCTTAACCCAGTTTGTGATTTCTCATAGGCTCCATACAAAAGCATCTGGAAATTGGTGAATCATTTAAAATTATGGCATGTTTTGTGTAGAAATATACATTTTTAACAAATATAGGTTGGATAGTAATCAGCAACCACAGTTTAATAGTATGGGCATTACATTTAGCTTTTGAGATGTGTAGTAGCTTAAGCAAGTATTTGTTTATATCCAGTACAAAAAAAAATCATCCTACCATAAATTTAGTTTGGGGGGCTGGGAAGGTAGCTCAGTGGTACTGCGCTTGCCTTGCATGCATGACGCCCTGGGTTCGATTCCTCAGCACCACATAAACAAAAAGAAAAAAGCCAGAAGTGGCGCTGTGGCTCAAGTGGTAGAGCGCTAGCCTTGAGCTGAAGAGCTGAGGGACAGTGCCCAGGCCCAGAGTTCAGGCCCCACGACCGGACCCAAAAAAAAAAAATTTAGTTTGGGGCTTCCTGGTAACCAGAGAAAACTTTTCAGAAAATTATTACTGGCCTCAGAGAGAATAAGTTCCTGTTACTTCTCAGTCAAGTGCCTATGGATAGAAGAGAGCTAGGTCTTGTGGCTCTTCTCTATAATTTTAGCTACTTGGGCTGCCAAGATTAGAAGGATTATGGTTCTAGGTCAGCCTGGGCAAATGTTCAGGAGACTTTATCGCAATAGAAGTTGGGCATGATGGCACATGCCAGTCTTCCCAGAAGGCAGCATAAAATAGGAAGATTGTGGAATAGACACAGGCTGGGCACAAAGCAAAACCCTATTTCAATCCTACTAGTGCAAAAAAGGGATGGGGAAGTGGCTGATTTAGTAGTAGAGCACCAGATTAGTAAGCATGAGTCCCTGATTTGAAACCCCAGTACTGCCCAAAAAAAGAACTGGGGAGAATGGTTTAGGCCAAACTGGGAGTTAGATGCTTTCTGAGTACTATAATGAAAATACCATCAAAGCATTTTATCAAACACACTCATACTGTTGTTGCTGATATTTGATAATTCATGTGAACATAAATGACAGTGTCAGTTTAAGAAGTCTTTACTGGGATGGGAAAGGATTTCAAAGCAAAGGTGACAGAAATAGATCATATAAGAAAGAAACCTTCTTGAACCTTGAAAATAATAAAGCTTTGATATCTGAGTTTTGTTTTAATCCAAGATTAAGCCAAGATCTTGAAATGCTATCTGATTGTCATGCAAATGAAACTTTTTAATTCAGAAAATGACTTCTGTGAATCTATGAGAGAGTATCAAATAGATCTTGAGTAGGAGAGAATCGCTTACCAGCTTTGTGAATAAAAGAAATTCTTAAAAGCCTAGCAGAGCACATAATCCTAGCTGTTCAGGAGGCTGAGATCTGAGGTTCACAATTTGAAGAAAACCCTGGCAGAAAAGTCTGTGGCCATGAGTTCAAGCCCCACTACTGGCACAAAATAGAAGTTCTTTGTCAAATCCAATCATGTATAATCCAGATTAATGTAGAAAAAAATTATTAATCAGAGATTATTCTTTTACCTAGAAATATACTAGATACACTTAAAATATGATGCGATATGCAAACATACATCATCTATCACTTTAGAAATGGACATATGAACATTCTTTAATGCATAAGTATTATGTAGATTATCCCATATTAAAACAAAAACATAAATACTCTAGAATTGTTGATTATTATTAGACATAGCTATTTCAGAATTAGTCATGATAGATTTTTTTTTCCAATTTGATAGCTAGCTATCCTAGTTAATTCTCTGGCTGGTTGCCTCAGAACCAACCTACTGTATACACAGAATAACTTATAAAAATAATACAGCTTAACTTATTTTTTCATAATGGTTGTTCATTTTTATTAGATACTATGAGATTAAACATTTCTTCAGTAATTGATTATGCTTATTTCTCTTTCAGCCCACGAAGTAAAGATGATCTTAGAGCTTATTTTATACTTTTACAGGTAAGATGTTAAGAACTTCATTTTGACAATATTTTTGATACTTTTGAGAATTATTAATGCTGTAACAAATAAACATCTATTGGATTAAATTTTTTAAAACATTCTAGCAGTTCCAAAGTTTGAACGTAGGGTCTCACACTTGTTATGTAGGCACTCTACCACTTGATCAACTCTCTTTATGATGTTTGTGTTGGGTTTCTTTCGAAATAGGGTCTTTCTTTATGCTCAGGCCAGCCTGAATTGTGATCCTTCTACTTGTGCTTCCCTACATCTCTGGGATGACAGGCAGTCACCAATTTATGCAACCGTTGATGAAGATGGAGTCTTACAAACTTTTTATGTTTTGCCTAGACTAGCCTCAAGCCATTATCCCCCACTTCTGCCTCTAAAGTGGTTGGGATTACAGGCCTAAATCAATGCTCCTGGCCTAAAAATTTAATTCTTGACTCCCTGTCCCACAGTATTTGGGAATAAAAAGGTCCTTTTACATTCTACTCAAACCTCTGTTCTTATAACAGTAGTTTTGCTGGGCTCTAGAACTTGCATTTATTTCCCCATCTACTAGGTTTCAAACTTTCTACGTATTTTTTTAAATTAATGATTTAGAATTCTATTGGAAAGTTAAATTTTGTTTCTATTTATTATAAAGCAAAAATTAAATAAGCAAAAAATGGCAAAATGTTTTCCTTGCCAAATAACAGAATCATAGATGAAAAAAATTGAGGCCTAAATTTAAAAAATTATTATTTTTTTAAGAAAGTTATTAACTTAGGTAACATACTATGTATTATTCTTTACAATTTACAAGAGTTATCTGTATATATTAACTCATTTAAAGGTAAATTAATATTAAATAATGTAATATGGTTAGTTCAATTTATCATAGTAGTGGTAGTATGTCCAATAAAAGGAAATGATAGGAAAACAAAGAACATAAGAGAAAAGAGGGAAATACAGAAAAAACTGACCCAAGAAGTTAATTAAAATAGAGATACAAGAGAAGAAATAGGTAAGTGAGGAGGGAAGAAAGAGAAAACAAAAACCTACAAAAATGACAACATGAAGGTTACATTTTTAGATGACTATATTAGTCATCAGTAAGCTCCAAGAACCATCACTGTGTGAAGTTACTACATAGGGTCACTAATTTTAAATTCTCCTATCCACAAATCAAGTTTAAAAAACATATAGTACTCTCTTATTTTTCAGAATATCAATGATAACCATTTTTATAAGAAATGCTAAAATGAACATTTTGATAACAAGTAGAGTTTGGGAACTGTTCACAAGCCACTTCTGCAGTATCTTTTAACATTTATAAGCGGGGCACTGGTGGCTCACACCTGTAATCCTAGCTACTCAGGAGTCTGAGATCTGAGGATTGCGGCTCAAAACCAGCCCCAGCAAGGGAAGTCTGTGAGACTCTTATCTCCAGTTAACCACCAGAAAAACAGAAGTGATGCTGTTGCTCAAGTGGTAGAGCATATGCCTTGAGCTGAAGAGCCCAGGCCCAGAGTTCAATCCCCATGACTGACCATAAAAATAAAAGAAAAACCAAACCCATAAGTTGTCACAAACTATTACATAGCTCTACCCCTAAGCCCCCCACTTCTGCTTTTGCTCTTAATTCTGCTTTTGCTAACTTATTTAACTGTGGCAGGTGTTTTATCAGTTTATTTCTTGTTTAATTGAATAATAGTGATCGACAGAATAGGTACTGAGCTAGGTAGTTTACATATATTTTCTTCTTAATAATCAAAACAACTCCTAAGACAGATACTATTCTCATCTAAGTGGTAAGGAAATTGAGAATCAGAAGTTTAAGGAACATGCCTGAAGTCACACAGTAACTAGTAGAATCTACCCTCTGACCCAGAACTGACCCATGCTTTCCAATGGCAGGCAGTATAACTTAGTCTCTGCTAATTGAATAACAAATAGGTTATTGTATTGAAGTATTTCCTAGTCTGAAATTTGATTCCTTGAAGTTATCACTTAAGTCGTTAAGCTTAATGCCTTTCCTTTTATATGTTAACACAGTTTTAACCTAATTTTCTTTACTATCTTTTTCAGAATCCTCAATTTAATAACACATCTACGTATGTCATCTATGCTCACTTGCTACGACAAATAGCTGCCTTAGTGGAAGCTGACCATCATTTTCTAGTTCACTGGTTTAAAAAGTAAATCATTCTATAATACTAAGAATTTCTGTACTATCACAATTTTTAATTTACTATTAGTAATTTTACTTTTAAATGTGTTAGATTATTTCAAAGGTCTTTAGAAATGCTTATAAAGGTCTTAGCATTGCTCATAATTTGCAATGCTTCAAAAGTCAATTATAAAAATATACCTTTAATACTATATAAAGTATAATTCAAAACTGTTCTAGCATAAGAATTTTGCTGTACAAGCTCTTGAAAATATCTACTGCTTTCAATTTTTTATTTAACACATTGCTATCACTGCCTTTTTTGTGTATCTCAAAGATGGTGATTGGATTTGCTGGGACATGTTTTTTTATTTCCTACGTGTTTATTAACAAATTCCATCATTATTTTCATGACATTTCCTCCTCACATAAAATCATCAAATTGTAAAAGTAAAAAACTTTTTTCCCTTCAAAACTATGTTCACATTAACATAATTTTCTCCATCATGGGTCAAAGCAAAATCCATACAATTTTTTAAAATAATTTCCTAAGTACAATCAGTTCTCATTATTGACAGTACTTACAAGTCTGCAAAGTCACCACAAATGCTAAATTAAAAAATGCTGAGTGAGCCATCACTTCTTGAAAAAATATAGTTAGGTTCCTGAGAGCCTTTGATCACATTTTTGTTATCTAGTCAGTGTATAACTTTTATCAGTGTTTCTGCTTAAAGATATCTTAATGTAGGTTATGGATTTACTAATAGTGAACTCATTACAGTAGTACTATAAGTCATGAATGAATAGCGCTCACATTAAATGTATTTCCTCCATAAGGTGCATCACATACTTATTACTTATTCTATTATGTAAGTCATTTGTGCTCACTTGGTACAACAGATAGCTCCCATAACTCACTGTTTTAAAAAGTAATGAATCATTCTATAATATTAATAATTTTGTAGCCTCATAGCTTTTAATTTGGTATTAGTAATCTTAGTGTTACTAATATGATACTAGTAAGTAGACAGTAATTTATCACTACCATTAGGGACCATTTTGAAATGGCAGATTCACCAACAAAAAGCACAAATAAATAAGAAAAACATGCCATTTGACTGTATAAAGGATAGTTGTGTACTGTATGAGAACTGAACAAGAAGACAGCCTTGTTCAACCTCATCTGGAAATGTACCTGTGAGGTGACTCAAATTTTTCTTTTTCTTTTTATGTCCACACATGATCATAAAAGCTAAGTATTTATTTTGGAGTTAATAAGCAAACAGGATTAAGAAAATTGGAACATTTATAACTACAGAATCTGTGAATAATGAATAAATACCAGAAGCCCTAAATATTACATTACTAGCCATGTAATAATTTTGGGGTTCAATTCTACTATGTTCATAGTAGAATTTTTTATCTTTTAAAAGATTGCCAACACAAGACAGAGAATTTGAAAGACTGAATAACCTGAAATTTTATGCATATAGGATATAGTTTAACAATGTTTAACAAATGCATTGATAAAATAGAAAATGAGAATTTTAACCAGAATTATTTCAAAATCTTTACCATCAGATTATCCCAGAAGAGGTTCAAACAGTTGGTAGAGAGATTGCTGCAATTTATTTCCTTACGCCTGTTTCCTGCAAAGCCTGAAGAATTTCCCCCTATAACAAAGTGTTCCTGGTGGATTCCATCAGCATCTAAAGTGTTGGCTTTACTTAGTAAGTTCTTCCTGTTTTGTCATGTATGCGTTTCTTTTGTTAAATATTGGAGACATTACTCAAGAATCTCAGATTCTCTGAAGGAAAAATTTGTATTTTTAAATTTTTATTGCCAGTTTCACAATTTATAAGCATGAAAAAATATGTCTTTTACTGAACAGTATTTTGTTTTAAAGCTATTAAGTACATAGTAGTGATTGCTGAGAAACATGAGCTTCCATTAGTAACTGAGGACCCCTAGACAAGAACACACTGATGGGGAAAATATAAGTAGACAGCCATCTGCATGCTCCTTTGGCTCTTAATGATTTCCAAAACAAATTTTTTAAAAGTAAAAACCTACGCTTTGACCACAATATTAAAATTGCCTTTCTCATTAGAGCTACCACTTTTAAAACATAATTTTCTAGGTCAAGACTGGCTGGTAAATGTTAAAATGTTTTTATTTCTAGACTAAATCATATGCTTGTTGGGAAAGGCCATTATGTTAGAATTTATCTTTACAGATACTGCAAACAATTTGGTTCATCCTCCTCTTATTCCTTATACTGATTTCTATAATTCTACACTGGATCATATTGATCTCATGGAAGAATATCATACATGGCAGAGCTTTGGAAACTCTCACAGGTACGATGAAAGACTCATTATTCACCTAAAGGAAATACTATTTAAAATAATGACAATTTTAAGTTTGCATAAATGATATACACATATACCTTTACATATAAATACATATAGTTTAGATATCCAGCCCTGGAAACACCAATTATATTTATTAAATCATTTTCTTTATTTGCTACATTTTGAATGGATATACAAATTAACCTGGTTTTGGTCTAGTTAATAGCATTTTTTCAAGAAGGAAATGATTATATCCGGGTATGTAGTTTCTTCTATCTTATTCTGTGTAGTGCTATCTAGTACAAGAGTCATTTCTCTGACATACTAGATGGTAAATATTTTCAGTTCTGTTATACATTTTTTTAGCACAAAACAGCTTTGGACAAAATATAAATGAATGAGTATGTCTGTGTTCCAAATAAAACAGATGGTAAACCTTCCTTCTCCTAGGGACCATGTTTGGCAGTACCTAATTTATCACATTGATCACACGTACTGTACACTTACATTCACTCCTTTTGTCCCTTATTCTGGAGAAAAAGTGGTTGCATGTTAATTACTGTGTAAAAAGAACAGATATTACAGAGAAAGACTTCACCATAGATCATTTGATACAATTGATTTTCAAAATACCTGACCATATTCTTTAATGCACTACACTTTATATACACACTCGGTTTGGATTACTGTAAGATGAGTATCACAAATATAATTTATTCCTAATCCAAGAAATATCTAGAAGATTGCCTTTATTCTAAAAGAGATTAGAAAATACAGTATAGATAAAAATAATAACTTCAAGACCCTAGATGCATTGCTAAATTGCTAAACTTTCCCAAGACCCTGTCTTACCAAAATTGGCCTGAAATATTGAATGACCTTTGGGACATGTTAGTCCACATCTGACACCCAGAATTAAACAAAAATGTTTCTAGATACTCTAGTCAGTCTTATGGTATTTTCTAGCAAAGCGTTATAAAAATACTTTTCCTCACCTTTAAAGTACAGTGGACATGAAACAACTCCTATTTCAATGACATCTTTAACAGAGTGCTTCTCTAACCATTGCAACTGTGGCACAGAAAATACATACCAAATGAATTATACAGGACTTTAGATAATGTAATCACAGCCCATCAAGCTGGCTTGAACTTGAGTGTGTTCTGGAATCTTAGGGCAAATCACCTCTGACCATAAGCAGACTTATCCGGGTTTATCTGGGTACTTCATGCATATCTCATCATTTTTTGTGTATGCCATAACAAGAGAAAGGTTGAGAAGCATTGTTTTAAAGTTTGTAATGAAGCTGATAATGTGTCCTATGAAATTCACTGCATTTTATTTTCCAATTTTTAGTTATTACTAGTGATTCAAAGTTACTACATACGAGTACTGAACAATCCCTATTGTTTAACAGTTTTGTCTCAGAGCAGAAGCAGTTTCATGTTCAGTTTATACTAGGACTATCTCCTTTTTCTTATAATGTCTTCATTGTGCCCAGTTGTCGCAAATATACCACCTGTCAGCTGAGATGGATCTCAACTATGACTAATTAATTCATAACAGCCTCTTCTAGGCAAGTGCTCCACCACTGAGTTATACACCCATCAGCCAGGTGGTCACTTCTGATGGGAATCTCACTGCTAAGGTGTTACTGCTGCCATATGCATGCTTCATACAATACATTTATGTCTATGTACTTTATGGCTTTTGTTCATAGTATAAGAATGGATTCTTACCTATAAGTGAGGTTATTTATATTACAGCATTAAGTTACAAGTACACCATTAAATAATGTACTAAGAGGAACATAATTTTCCTAATCATCAGTTGGCCTTAAATTTATTACTGTCTGAGCTCAGTGATTAAGTACCTGCCTAGCAAGCACAAGATCCTGAGTTGAAACCCCAGTACCTTTAACAAAAAATACTATTTTGTTTTTTGTGTGCTACATTTATTGCTATGTTTTTTCATTTATGATACACTGCAGAAGTAGCCTTTTAATAGTGGATACTTATATAATTTGAGCATATGAGTTTTCTGTCCTGTTTCTTCTTCATAATACCACTGCTTCCCAGTTCTGGTGTTTTCCATGTTTTTTTCCAAGTGATAATAGATGACTGAATAAGCTGTAATTCTTTATATAAGCAATGAGCATGATAAGCACACATTTCAAAAATTATATATAGTTTCCTTCTGAGAATAAAAGCACTGCGTATTTAGTAATGGCAACATTCTTCACAGGGCTGTGGGAATTAAGTGATAAATCATTTCACAAATGGTAAAACACAATACAAAAGTAATGTTTTATTACTAGAATGGGTACCTTAAATTCCCGTAGTATAATTTTGCTAAAAATACACCATTTTGCTTTTTTCTGTTTTCACTTGTTAAACAGGTTTTCCTTCTGTCAGTACCCGTTCGTTATTTCTATAGCTGCCAAAAAAATCATTATTCAGAGAGACTCAGAGCAACAGATGATAAGCATCGCAAGGGTAAGCCAGCTATAAGACTACTTATGCTAACTATAATAAATATAGTAAATAATAAATAAGTCAGATGTCTGTTGGATTGTTTCTAGCATAATCTTAAAATGTTAAAAATAAAATTACAAAGTGCTTAAACCTGTAAGGCAATTTACAGAAGAGAAGACACACCTCATCTAATCAACTTATTATATTACAAATGTAGCAGAAGAGTCAGTGTATCTCACAGACTCATATTTCTAGGAGCTTGTTGGACCTCATTCTATATAATTCTCTTCCTGTTCAGGTTACAAGCAGATCACTGATGAAACCTAGGGTGAAGTGATAAGGATCTTTAAAAGACAAATGAGTAAAACCATTGTAGTATGTTCTAGGCTTTATAAAAATCAGAAACAGCCAAGAAATTAGAAAAGTATATATCTTGGAGGACTAGGAAACATACCCACAAAGTTGTGAATGATGTTTTTGTTTTTGTTTTACTTGGTTCCTCAGTTCCTAGGAAACTGAGATAGATGCATGGAGATCCGTGAAAGCTAGGATAGCAGTCAGGCTGACATTAGACAGATTATAGAACACAGTAAAGCTCATATTTAGGCCTCTCCATGAACATCCCCTACCATTTACCAAACAGAAAAGTTACATTTGTCTAATAGATTAAATGAGGTTTCTGTTGTTTTATTTGGGAGGGGCCTAGTGTAAAGTCAGGGTTTTGGCTTTGCTCGACTGTTGCTCTAATACTTGAGCCAGACTTCCAGCCCTATTTTTCGCTGGTTATTTTGGAGATAAGAGTCTTATGAACTTTTCTGTCCAGGCCAGCCTCTACCTGAGATCCTTCCACTCTTGGCTTCCTGAGTAGCTAGGATTACCTAGTCATCAGTACCTGGCTAAAATTAATTTAGGTTTTTTTTGGTTTTTAGTACTTGGATTTAATCTCAGGGCCTTAGTTAGTGCTCAAGACTAGTTAGTGTTCTACCACTTCTGGCTTTTTTTGGTGATTAGTTGGACATAACAGTATCACAGACTTTCCTGCCTAGGCTGGCACTGAACCACAATCCTCAGATCTCAGTCTTCTGAATATATGTGTGAGCCAACAGTGCTCAGTACAGCTCTAATGAGCTTTATTTAATTAGTGCTGTAGACTGTATATTTAAGAACATATATCCAGTTCCTACTCATGTTACATTATTGCTCCACAATTTTAAAAATTAAAAGGAAGCTTGAGTATAATCTAAGTAAAATGCAGAATATATGAAGAATATAAAACCTAAACCCTAAATTGCAATACTTCTAATTACTGTAAAAATAAGAATTATATAATAGTAATTTAGTTCCCAGAGATATTTTTTCTATCATAGATAAAGATAAAAGCATTCAGTGGCTGGTGATATCCTAGAGTTATCTTATACTGTGTGAGAATATTACAGGAAAATTTATTGCCTTTAGCTCTTAAGGGAATTCCAAATTCACATTCCTCCCACCCCCTGAAGAATGAGTTTAAACAGATATATATAGCATCTGAATTGTTACTCGATTTTGAACAGATACAGTCTCAGAAATGAACTTTTTCATTTTGATATTGTATAATATAACTTTCCTAGTAATTTTCCTCATTGGGCTATGTTATTTATTATGTTTTAATGAAAATCTAAAGAGCTAGAAGATTGTCCAGCTTTTTCTTAAAATATTGTCTTTTGTCATTCACCCTTAAAATACTAAATATCGTTTTTTTTCTGGAATTTTCTTATACTTAAAAGGAAAATGGCAGGTATAGCCTAGCTCACAGAGCATGGAAGGAAGTGAGTAGAGATTGGAGAGCCAAGTAGCATTATTACTTCCTAGAAAGGTTTCCCAACAATTTAACTTGTAAACTGCAATTTTACTTTAAATTAATAACTGGTTATTATTTTGACACAGGACAACCCTATTGGTAGTTAAATGTAAGCAAGAGCTTTTATGCTACAGTCTAAAGCTGCAAAAGAAGTTCCACTGAAATGACTTCCTCAGTCAGACTGTCTAGAATTCTTACTTTTATTATGTTACTTCTTTCATTTTTTATTAATATGAATTCCTAATAGGAAGAAAAATGACTAAGTTTGTTTGCCATCCTCATACTAATATAAATTTATGTTTTGTTCATCTACATCATAATTGCTCTCTAGGAGCTATGCTAGAACTAGAAGATAAGAATGGTAGATAAAAGAACATACACAACACAGAATTCTGTCTCAAATGAAGATCTTTTTAGTAATAGAGAACTCAGTGAAGCAAAACACAGTTAAAAGCACTTAGCATTGGATATTGGAGCAGTGGAGAAAGCTCTTAAGTGTTTTTTTGTAGTAAGCAGTATAATACAGAATATAATGTGGAATTCGAAGTACCCTTTTAAGTTATATACTTTTCATAGATTAAAAACGTGTTTTTTACCTACTAAAAGTAAATTACTATATGTACTTCAGATGTCTGAAATGTTCATCTTTAATCTGTACAAAAACTTGTTTCATTGTTATCAAAGAATATGGAATAGTCTGATTATTTAGGTAAATGAATATAGAAGCATGTAAATTTTATATGATAAATGACCTATATTCCTTATATTTTAGTATGTTGGTTTTTATATACTTAGTGATTAAATTTTTAAGAGCTATGAGAAACAGATACTTTAACTTTTACAAGCATAACTATTGGTGCTATTTTAGTAAATTTTCTTTAGTATTTTCCCTATATGGGAAAACTTAGAAGAGTTGAAGCAGTATTATATATAATTTGTTCATTACTTTCCTTAGGTGTATCTTTCTTATAGTATTTACATGGTTTTCAAAACCATCATTCTTAGTGGCTGTAGCTACATTCAATTTCATTAGCTAGGTATGTCTTAAGATACTTAACAATCTTGGCTTTTGTGGCTACAGCTGTATAAACAACTAGCATTATATGAAAAAAGGTATGGATGTTAAACTTTTTTATAATGTTGATCAATTACTTTCTAAAAGTAGAATAATTGTGCGTTTAGAGTAAATTCACTGTCTAAAATACCTTAAGTCTGGGTTTATTATCAGAAGTATTTACCATGATTTAAATATTCCCATTTTATATTTGTATTTATGAAAGAAAAACTTCATTATTTAAGAGATGAGACAAATATGAACTGTAATGCACTGTTCTTTATATAGAAGTCAATTCATTTTTGGTCCTCCCTATGGACTCCCTTTGGCAATTGTTTCAGAATAAAGCATTTTCACAAATCAAGTTGTTGTAGTTGATTTTATGAAATTGTTTATATAAGTAGTGGCACAGGCAATAATTAAGAGATTTTTGACTGAACTATTTAAATGTTTTAAATGAAAGCATAATATAATTAAAAGTGAAAATGTTTACTCTCTTATTTAATTAGCAAAGTCTGGTGGATAAAGTATCTCGAAGACAGAGACCTGATATGAATATGTTATTTCTAAATATGAAAGTAAGGCGGACACATCTGGTTAGCGATTCACTCGATGAGGTATAATATATTCTAAGATATATTAATTTCTTTAAATTCTTAAATATGATTCATTACTTAAGTCGTAGAAACCTATTTTTTTTTTGTCCGTCATGGGGCTTGAACTCTCAGTCTGGGTGCTGTCCCTCAGCTCTTCAGCTCATGGCTAGTGCTCTTCCACTTGAGCCATAGCACCACTTCCAGCTTTTACTGTTGCTGTGGTGCTGAGGAATCAAACCCAGGGCCTCATGAGGCAAGGCAAGCAGTCTACCACTGAGCCACCTTCTCAGCCCCAGAAAGCTATTTTTTATTTCTATATGCATATTAAGTATTTCTCCTTAAAATTTGAAGCCATAGTTAAAATCAGTTTTATATAGTTAAGCTTTATATTCATTTTTATGATTATTGATGGTATGTTGTTATTGCACTCAAAAAGGACTAAGAACACTTAAATGAGTAACTCCTGTTTTTTAGTATGTTACCTGAATTCTAGACTCACCTATCTCTGACTTGATACATATGTTATGTAATTTATGCAAGTCCTAGATTATCTGTAAAATTGTAAGTTGAAACTACAGATTCTATTGGGCATACTCAAGTCCACATAAATACTGATTGTATATATACATGAAGCTTCCTGAAGATAATGACTGGTTTATTTATCTGGCTTTTTAAAAATTCAGTGTTCAAGAAATGTTAAATGAAAATTAATTATTTTATGGTATAGTCTACTAAATTAAAATTCTGGTGGGCAATATGATATTGGAGGCTATCCTTGGACAGGACACATTATCTGTAAAACAACCAAACACCTAGTTCACTGGCAAATTTGGGATGGATGGATGGATTGGTGGGTTTTGTAAATTAGATAAAGACTGTCTTAACAGTTTCCAGAATCAAAACCAGTTAATTCTCTTGTCACTGGCCTTGGTTCTTTTCTTCTATATAATTTCTTCAAATAGTTAACCCGGAAAAGAGCAGACCTGAAAAAGAAGTTAAAAGTTACATTTGTAGGAGAAGCTGGTTTGGATATGGGTGGCTTAACTAAAGAATGGTTCCTTCTTCTAAATCGCCAAATTTTTCATCCCGATTATGGTGAGTTTTTCATTTTGATGAAGTCTTTTTTTCCTAAGTGTTAGGAGTCAAGTAGTAACTTATTTTTAATCTGCTTTATGATTTTGCATACTTGTGTCAATGATAAATGACATATTTTTATTGTAAAGATACTGTACAGAGGAGTTACAGTTACATGAGCAAGATGAGTCCATTTCCTGTTGAGCATTGTTACCCCCCCTTTGTGTTAATTACTGAATGACCTTTTTTTGTGGGGGGGTCCAGTAGTGGGCCTGAACTCTGGGCCTGGGCGCTGTCCCTCAGCTCTTCAGCTCAAGGCTAGCGCTCTACCACTTGAGCCACAGTGCCACTTCTGGCTTTTTT